TCACCTTAAACGAAATTGGGTGAATACATCTCATATTACTGATTTACTGGTAGTCTCGAAACTCTACTCACATACAAAAAATAAGTAATGTAGTTGATTGTTATAGCCAAAATACGTTTGCTTCATCGGCAATCCCACCAAAGAATGTGATATGCCAAAAGACCTGGCCTTCCTTGAAATTCACATTTGCCCTGTGACCCAAGGAGACTCGTGGCATTGCGGCCGAGTGGTTAACGTGTCAAGCTCCCATTCTGCACTGTCACGGTTCGACTCCCGCTGGGGGTGTTGATAAGACCGAAGCGAGGTGGAAACTGCAGTCCACCCTGGAGGAGAACAACTTCAGGGAAAGCAAGGATATGGAAGCGTCAACTCTACGTCATAAAAGTCATTATTTTGAAAAAGCTCTTACGTTGCGGTTGTTGAGGTGACTGTCATTTCGAGTGAAAGTGTATCATTAAGGGATTCGTGGGTCAATCCTACCAGACGGACGACAGTGGATCAGCTGACATCTGGTACTGCTGGAAAGTTCCGGTTGACCCTTTCATCGAGACAAGCTCCTTTGGCTTCGGTGAAAACGTACTGGGCTGTAGTCTGTCGTGCCACCTGACAGGCATCATCCTCATTCTTACGGCTCACTCCAGCTAACTTTAATAAACCAAATAATTGGCTCAGAAAAGAATGAACGTTTTGCTAAAGCCCGTTTGAGCAGTCTCAAGTGAGTTTTTCTCCCACGGTGCAACTTATTCCGAAACTATCAGCAAATCTGGAGCAAGAAGTGTATTCCCTATAGTTCGTTCAGGATAGATGAATTTTTCCCTTTCAATGATTTGAATGGACTTTACATTTCCATTGAATTTCCCATATCCTTTCTTTCCCAAAAGGTATTTTTACCCAGGGTTACTGCAATTTCGACCTCGCCTAGGTCGTAGCAACACCGTCAACTGGACTCAAACCGTGACAGTTCAACATATAATCTCGACACGTTAACCACTACGCCACACTGCTAAGAGCGTTCTTGTGAAATTCATTGGAACTGTAAAGTCTACTCATAATATTGTGAGAAAAATTCAACTACCAGCCCCCTTATCCCCTTAAACAAAATAGGGTGAATACACTTCATATATAATTGACT